CTTTTTTTTTTTTTTTTTTTTTTTTTTTTTGGTGCAGAAGCTTTTTAGTTTGATGTAGTCCCATCTGTTTATTTTTGTTTTTATGGCCTTTGGTTTTGATGTCAAATCCAAAAAATCATTACCACAGCCAATCTCAAAGAGCTTATTGCTTATGATTTCTTGTAGGAATTTTATGGTCTCAGGTCTTATGTTTAAGTCTTTATCCAATTTGAGTTAATTTTTGTGTATAATGTCAGATAGTGGTCCAGTTTCATTCTTTTGCATGTGACTATCTAGTTTTTCCAGCACCATTTACTAAAGAGACTGTTCTTTCCCCATTGTATATTTTTGCCTCCTTTGTTGTAAATTAATTTGTCAAGTATGTGTGGGTTTATTTCTAGGCTATCTATTCTGTTTTATTGACTCAGTGTTTATTTTTATGCCAATACCATACTATTTTTATTACTATAGCTTTGTGATATAGTTTGAAATCAGGAAGTATGATGCCTCCAGCTTTGTTCTTCTTTCTAAAGATTGCTTTGGCTATTTGGGGTCTTCCCTTGTTCCATACAAATTTTAGGATTATTTGTTCTATGTCTGTGAAAAATGCCATTGGAATTTTGATAGCAGGCCATATGATTTAAAACCTATTTGCAACAGAACCCCCTCTCATCACCAATCTGGGGAAAACCTTGGATTGTTGGAAACTAAGATTTAGCCACCCCTAACTGGGGCTTGAGTCAAGCTAGTTGGGCTGTAGGATGGGTGCCAATATCACCTTTGCTAGCTTTTCACCTGTGAGCCGCTTGACATGTAAGATATTTACAAGTTAAGTTCCTAAGCCCAGCATGACATTCAAATCACACAAGTGGGTCAGCCTTGTTATAATACCACAAAGCGCCACAAAAACAAGACCCACATCTACTCAAGTCATAGCTACTTGGAAAGGATACACCAGTTCTACATCTCAATTGACATCACTGTGGCCCAGATGCCTGCTTTGGAGATGACATTTTTTCAGAAGACTTCATCCTAGCCCAAGATCTCACTGTTGGAGATGACTTAGCCCTCTTCAGCAAAGACAACTTTACCCCAAACACTAAAACATCCACCCCAGAATTAAAAGTGTAAATCTCCACCCCAGAATTAAAAGTGTAAAGCTTATTGAAGTTGTTATCAGTTTAAAATAGCGTGCTATAAATTAAAGATATTTTATGTAATACTCCTGGTAACAACAAGGGAAAATCTGGTAGGAATTGCACAAAAGAATGTGATAAAGAGGTCAAAGCATACTCATACCAAAAGACGTCAAAACACACACACAGAAGAACAGAATAAAAAACAAGGAACAATGAAGGTACAAACAAAACCATAAAGCAATTAGCAAAATTGCAATAGTAAGTCTTTACCTATCAATAATTACTTTAAATGTAAAAGTATTAAATTCTTTGATTAAATGATATAAAATGGATGAATGGATCAAAAACAAAATCCAGCAATATGTTTTCTTACAAGAGACTCACTTTAGTCTTAAAGACACAGATTGATTGAGAGTGAAGGGATGGAAAAGTCATTTCAAGCAAATGGTAACAACAACAACAACAAAAAAGCAGGGGTAGCTATACTCCCATCAACTTATATCAGACAAAATAAACTTTAAACAAAAAATGGTAAAAAGAGACAAAGAAGGTCATTATATAATGATAAAGGATAATAGAGAACATATAAAAATAGAGAACATATAAAAATTATAAATATTTATGCACCCAACTTGGAACACCTACGTATATAAAAGAAAAACTGACAGAACTAAAGGGAGAAATAAACAGTAATACAATAATAGTTTGGGACTTTAATACCTCACTCTCAACAATGGATAGATTATCCAGATAGAGAATCAATAAGGAAACAGTGAATTTGAACAACACTATAGACCAAATGGGCCTAATAGGCATGTACAGAACATTCTATCCAACCACAGAAGAATACACATTCTTCTCAAGTGCACAAGGAGAATTTCTAGGGTAGACCACATGTTAGGCCAAAAAACAAGTTTTAGCAAAGTTGAGAAGACTGAAATCATACCACGTATCTTCTCTGACCACAATGGCATGAAACCAGAAATCAACACCAAGAGGACAACTGGAAAATTCACAAATACATGGAAATTAAATAACCCTCTCCTGAACAACCAATAGATCATAGAAGAAATTAAAAGTTTCTTTAAAAAAAAGATTTATTTATTTATTTATTTATTTGAGAGAGAGACAGAAGCCGGGGGAGAGGCAGAGGGAGAAGCAGACTCCTTGCTGAGCCAGGAGCCCAAAGTGGGGCTTGATCCCAGGAACTGGAGATCACGACCTGAGCTGAAGGCAGACACTTAACCATCTGAGCCACCCAGGAGCCTTGGAAATAAAAAGTTTCTTAAGACAAATGAAAATGGAAACACAGCATACTATAACTTGTGGAATCCAGCAAAAGCAGTTTTAAGAGGGAAGTTCATAACAATAAACAGCTATATTGAGAAAAAGAAAGATCCCAAATAAATAACCTAACTCTACATCTTAAGGGACTAGGAAAATAAGAACAAACTGAGCCTAGAGTTAGCAGAAGAAAGGAAATAATAAAGATTAGAGCAGAAATAAATGAAATAGAGAACAGAAAAACTCAACCAAACTCAGAGATGGTTATTTGAAAAGATACAAAAAACTGACAAACTCTTAGCTAGACTTGCTAAGGAAAAAAAGAGAAAGGACCCAAGTCAACAAAATTATAAATGAAAAAGGATACATTAAAACTGATAACACAGAAAATAAAAGGATCATAAGAGGCTACTAAGAACAACTATATGCCAACAAATCAGACAACCTAGAAGAAATAGATAAATTGCTAGAAACATACATACTACCAAGACTGAATCAGTCTTAAAGTAGTGGGGAGAGGAGGGCGGGCGGGGACCACCTTCAGAGCTGGCCGCCGGCGGTGTCATGGCGACCCGGAACCCCCCTCCCCAAGAGTATGAAAGCGATGACGAGTCTTACGAAGTGTTGGATTTAACTGAGTATGCAAGAAGACACCATTGGTGGAATCGAGTGTTTGGCCACAGTTCCGGACCTATGGTTGAAAAATACTCGGTAGCCACCCAGATTGTAATGGGTGGAGTGACTGGCTGGTGTGCAGGATTTTTGTTCCAGAAAGTTGGAAAGCTTGCAGCAACTGCAGTAGGTGGTGGCTTTCTTCTTCTTCAGATTGCCAGTCACAGTGGCTATGTGCAGATTGACTGGAAGAGAGTTGAAAAAGATGTAAACAAAGCCAAAAGACAGATTAAGAAACGAGCAAATAAGGCAGCACCTGAAATCAACAATATAATTGAAGAAGCAACAGAATTTATCAAACAGAACATTGTGATATCCAGTGGATTTGTGGGAGGCTTTTTGCTAGGCCTTGCATCTTAAGGATATGAATGTTCTATCACAGTGGAGTCACCTATAAGAAGAGAAATGGTGGCAACAAGGTTTCTCGACAATACTCACCGCCAGATTCTCCAGGGCAGCAAGAAACAACTAGGTGGACAGTACCAAACCCACAGCTTAGTGTTTTGCCATTGAAGTTTGGCAAACTAGTATTTGCTGTAAAAACAACCTATATGGTATGTGTACAATAGTATTCCTAAGCAAAACATGCCTTTCATTTATTTTTTTAAAATATGCATTTGTTTTGAAATTAGCCTATGAAATACCACCATTGGAAGTAGATATACAGAGGGAAAAAATGTGTTGGATATATTCCCCAGTGAAATATTATCGTTGTTTTATTTAAATAAGATGTTCTTCATTTTGCTTTATAGTATAGTGCTGGTAATTAAAAATTATAAATATATAGAAACATACATACTACCAAGACTGAATCAGGAAGAATTACAAAATCTGAAGAGACCAATTACTAGTAAGAAGCTTACGGCAGTAATCAAAAATTTTCCAATGAGCCCAGGATGACTTTACTGATGAATTTTACCAAATATTTAAAAAAGAATTAACACCAATCTTTCTCAAACTCTTCCAAAAAATTGAAGAGGTGTAACTCTCCCAAACTCCATTTTACAAAGCCAGCATTATCCTGATACTAAAACCATGAAAGAAAACTATAGGCCAATATCTCTGATTTATATGGAAACAAAAATTCTCAATAAAATACTAGCAAACTGAATTTAGCAGCAAATTAAAAAGATCATTCACCATAATCAAGTGGGCTTTATCCCTGGGATGCAAGGATGGTTCAATATCACATCAATAGAATGAAAGAAAAGAATCATGTGATTATCTCCATAGGCACAGTAAAAGCATTTGACAAAAATGTGACATCCATTCATGATAAAAACTCTTAACAAATTAGGCATAGAAAGAACATATCTCAACATAATAAAGGCCATGTATGACAAGCTCATAGCTAACATATTCAATGGTAAAAAGATTAAAATTTTTCCTCTAAGATTAGGAATAAGACAAGAGTGCCCACTCTCACTGCTCCTATTCAACATAGTACTAGAAGTCATAGCTAGGGCAATCAGGCAAGAAAAATAAATAAATGATATCAGAATTGGAAAGAAAGAAGTAAAATTGTCTCTATTTACAGATGACATGATTTTATACATAGAAAATCTTAAAGACTCAACCAAAATATTGTTATATCTAATCAATGAATTCAGTAAATTTGCCAGATTGAAATTAACATACAAAAATCAGTAGCATTTCTTTAGACTAATAATGAATTTTCTGAAAAAGAAAAATAAATTAATCCCATATGTAATAGTGTCAAAAACAATAAAATACTTATGAATAAATTATCTAAGAAAGTGAAAGATCTCTACTCTGAAAACTGCAAGATACTGATGAAAAAATAGAAGACACAAATAAGTGGAAAAGTATCCTGTGTTCATGGATCAGAAGTATTAATGTTGTTAAAATGTGAATGCTACCAAAGCCATCTATAATTCAATGTAATGTTTGTTAAGATTCCAATGGCATTTTTTACAAAAGCAAAAAAAACAAAAACAAAAAAAACACTCTTAAAATTTATGTGGAATCACAAAAGATCCTGAGGAGCCAAAGAAATCCTGAGAAAGCAGAATAAAGCAGGGGGCATCATTCTTCCTGATTTCAAGCTATACTGTAAAGCTATAGTCATCTAAACAGTATAGTGCTAACATAAAAACAGACAAATAGACCAATAGAACAGAATCAAAAGCCTAGAAATAAACCCAAGCATATATAGTCCACTAATATTTGACAAGGGAGGAGAAAAGAATACTCAATGGAGAAAAGACAGTAGCTTCAAAAAATGGTGCTGGAATAGTTGAATATGTAAAAGAATGAAACTGGACCCATATCTTACACCACTCACAAAAATTAACTCAAAATGGATTAAAGACTTAAATTTAAGGCCTCAAGACATAAAACTACTAGAAGAACATGTAGGAATAAATCTCCTTGACATGGGTTTTAGAAATGATTGTTTGGATATGACACCTACAGCAAAAGCAACAAAATAAAAAATAAACAGGTAAGGCTCATAAGAACTAAAGAGCTTTGCACAGCAAAAGGAACCATCGGCAAATGAAAAGAAAACCAATAGGATGGGAAAAAATATTTGCAAGCCCTATATCTGATAAGGGGTTAATATCCAAAACATATAAAGAACTCATACAACTCAATAACAAAAAAACAAATACCCCAATTAAAAAATGGGCAAAGGACCTGAGTAGATATTTCTCTAAACAAGATATAGGAAGGGTCAACAGATACATGAAAAGATCCTCAACATCACTGTTGAGGGCAATGCAAATTAAAACCACTGTGAGATACCATCTCATGCCTGTGACAATGGCCATCATCAAAAAGACAATAGATAACAAATGGATTGGAGAAAGGGGAACCCTTGTGCCTGTCCTGTTGGTGGGATTGTAAATTGGTGCAGAGATTATGGAAAACACTATGGAAGATACTCAAAAAATTTCAAAATAGAGCTACATGTGATCCAGCAATTCCACTCTGAGAATATGGCCAAAGGACACAAAACAGTAACTTGAGAAGATATCTGCACCCCCACGTTCATTGCAGCATTATTTAAAATAGACAAGACATGTAAACAACTTAAGTGTCCATCAATAGATGAATGGATGAAAAGTTGTGGTATATACATATACACACACACACACACAAAATGGACTACTATTCAGCCATAAAAGATGAGGAAATTCTACCATTTGTGACAACATGGATGGAACTCGAAGGTATTTTGCTAAGTGAAAAATGTCAGACAGAGAAAGACAAATAGTGTACGATCTCACTTATATCTGGAATCTAAAACAAACAAATACCACACTCATCAAAAAAAGAGCTCAGTCTTGAGGTTACCAGAGGCAGGAGATGTGGGGAGGGGGAATGGGAGAAAGGTGGTTGAAAGATATAAAGTTTCCAGGTAGGAGATAAAAAAGTACTAGGGATGTAATGTACAATGTTATGACTGTAGCAAACACTGCTGTGTGGTAGGAAAGTTGTTAAGAGTTAATCCTAAGAATTCTCATCACAAGATTTTTTTTTTCCTTTCTCTTTTCCTCTTCCTTTTCTATTTATCTGTATGAGAAGATGGATGTTGGCTAAACCTACTGTGGTAATCCTTTCACAATATATGTAAGTCAAACCATCACACCATACACCTCAAACTTATACATACAGTGATGTATGTAAATTATTTCTTAATAAAACTGGGGGAGGGGAGAAACCCCTCCATCCCAGCAATGCCTGTGGACTGCCTCTCTTAAGTGGCTAACAATTTGGACATAGGACATTTAATTGCCATTCTTCCTTTGATATTAGGGATTCCATTATTTTTCTTGATCTACTTTCTGCTTAGCCCATGATCCTGGTATATTTCTCGCTCTCTGCCAAAACATACACCCTATTCTCCCATAGTAAAGGGAAATGTGGTAGTGTTACTATGATTAGTGTCATTCTAAAGAGATCATTGTTCTCCCCAGCAGATACCTGCCTCATATTAATCAACTCCTCGAACCCTTGAGGAGAGGACCGCCCACTCCCTAGTGCCTGTTCCTGCTCTCTTCCCCCATCTTCCACCAAGGCCTCATATGATGTCAAAGCATCACAAAGCCAATTGTATTAATCACATCTTTTATTTTCTGTATTCCGATGCTTTGACATCTGAGGGCTTGCTGACCCTGAAGTGACTGCCTCTTCCAAGAGTTAGCCAATTTTTAGAGATAAAAAACAACCCACCCCATAAGCATGCCTTTCAAATGCAAACCAACCTACACCCAACCGCACCTCCTTTATCAGGCTCTCACATTCTAGGCAACTAGCTACTGACCCTAATCTCCTAGGAACAAGGTACCAGACAACTAGACAGATACCAGATAGTCCCTATGCCCCAGGGCCTCTTGAAATTATTCAATCCTAAATGGGTTTACGCTATTCCACCCATTTCTTCCCAAGGAAAACACAATAAGGGCTCTTAGCTGTTTTCCCCTCTCCCTCTGCCTCCTGACCAACCCCAGGGCTTCCCTGTGTGGCCCCTTGTGGTGTGGCATGCTTCTTTCTTTTGATTTTTGTGATTCTAATAAGCTTCCTTTTAAATATTAGTTGTCTCCTTATCTATTGGCCTTACTTTTAACAATAATAAAGCCTATATTTTAAAACAATCTTGTGTTTTTCTTTATCTTTGTTCTGACTACATGGTATAGAAAGTAAATGGTTTGCAGTCTGTATCCCCAGCTAGGACACGGATTGTATCCAAAGCTAAGTTCCTAGTACATGGCAGGTATGTAACATATGGTTATTGAATTTGACTCAAATTTTATTTACAGTTCGACCGTCCTCTTAATTATTTGGAATTGTTTTTCCCACCTCTGACACCCATTTTTTAATGTTACATTAGTTTCAGGTATACAACACAGTGATTCAACAACTGTATACATTGTGCTATGTTCACCATTAATGTAGCTACCATCTGTCTACATATATTGCTATTGTAATATCATTGACTATATTCTCTATGTGTGCCTTTTATTCTTGTGATTTATTCATTCCATAACTGGAATTCTGTATCTCCCACTGCTCTTCACCCATTTTGCCCAAACTCCTGCCCCTTCTTCTCTGGCAGCCATCAGTTTGTTCTGTGTATCTATAGGTTTAGTTTTGCTTTTTGTTTGTTTTTTCATTTGTTTTTTGGTTTTGGGTTGTTTTTAGAGTCAATTTATGAGTGAAATTGCATGGTATTTGTCTTTCTCAGTATGACTTTCTTTCTTTCTTTTTCTTTCTTTCTTTCTTTCTTTCTTTCTTTCTTTCTTTCTTTCTTTCTTTCTTTCTTCTTTCTTTCTTCTTTCTTTCTTTCTTTCTTTCTTTCTTTCTTTCTTTCTTTCTTTCTTTCTTTCTTTCTTTCTTTTCTTTTTTATTTCTTCTTTTTTAAAATTCCAGTGTCATTAACTACAGTGCTATATTAGCTTCAGGTATACAACATAGTGATTCAACAATTCTATACATTGTTCAGTGCTCATCACTCAGTCTGATTGGATTGGATTTCATTTAGCATAATACCCTCTAGGTTCATCCATGTTGTCTCAAATGTCATGATCTTACCCTTTTTTATGGCTGTGTAATATTCCATTTTGTGTGTGTGTGTGTGTGTGTGTGTGTGTGTGTGTGTGTGTGTGTGTATACCACACTTTCCTTATCCATTTGTCCGACATCCATTTTTACACTATAATGTCCAGACCTCCCTGTGGCGTTCCAAGCTTGGACCTACTGTGAGGTAGTGTGTGGGAGAAAGAGCACAGGAATA